GAGATAGAGAAACAACAATTATATAGGAGGAGGGACTCTAGGAAGGTATAATTTGAAGAAAGTCAAGAAATAAAATATTTCAAGGGGGGGAGTGAGTCAAAAGTAGCAAAAAGTAACTAAATATTAAAGAGAATGAGAATTGAAAAAAGGCTCATCTTTTCTGTCCTTGGTGAAATGTAAGGGAGTAGTTTCAGGCATAGAGATGGGAAAACATAATTTGTTTTCTAGGAATAACAGGTGATCCAGGTTTGGTTAGAAGAAAGAGTTTCTTTTAAGAAGTATTAGAGAATAAGTAATTTGGGCTAAAGAGTTTCTACTCCAGGCAATGGTGGGCCATTTTGTCATTCTCTTGCTCAAAAATTAGTCAAATCAGTGACTGATAGACTAGGAATGTTATTCTGGGGTGGATATGTAGAGTAAATTGAGGATGACAATGCATATTGTAATACACTTGGAAAAAGTATAAAGAACATATGAACAGAAATGTTCGAAAGAACTTTGTGTGATGATATGAATGCTCTGTATCTTTGCTGTCCAAAGTAGCCACTAGCTACATGTGGCTATTGAGCTTCTAGTGCGACTGAACGAAAGGGTTTTGGGTTGTATTTAATTTCAGTTTAAATGTAAGTAGTCACATGTGTATAGTGGCTAATATATTAGCTTGATTTTAATAGGCCTTGGCCAAGACTCTCTCCATAAAATAAAATACTGTTTGCCAATTACAGCAAATACACCAGCAGTCAGAATGGGCCAGTAGTGTACTTATACTCAGGGGACATATATCTGCATTGCAGCTCCAACATAAGTTCCTGCTGTTACTTCTTTTGAATAAGCTATATATAGTTGCTCCAGTGTTGAGTGGTTCTTTCACAGTTTCTGTATAAATCTTTTCTGGAGAGTGACTGCTTAATTCTTCGGTAGTCACAAAGTGAATTGTTTGTGCCCCACACAGCCTGTATTTTAGATTCACATGCACCCTCCAAATTCAGTGAGGATCTAGCCATTTTCTCATGATAGGGTAAAACAAGCGGATTAGTAGAAATTTTATGTGTGTGCATATTATAAAACTTTTAAATGTCATGCTAATTAGCAAATCCTCAAATTCTGACTTGAGCTGAAGCAGATTCTCTTCCCCCTTCTCTGTATCCTTGGCTCTGGTGCTATCTTTTATCCTTGGGCTGGGTGTGGGCCAGTAGTGTACTTATACTCAGGGGACATATATACTTAGGGGAAGGGATGGCCCTTCTCTTTAGACCTCTGGGCTTCAGATGGTCCTGTATCAGTCTCTACTTTTCTTTATTCTTCCTAAGGGCTTCAGACTTCAGCAGACCTGCTCTCATCCTCCTTGTCCTGTAGCACATTCTCCAGCCAGTTGCAAACCCTACAATTCAGCATTTCAGAGGAAAGATCTGCCGTTTAGCCTCTCCGTGTCATCTAGGGCCATCTTAGGTGCTCCTTCATTAGAGCATGTGGTTGTTGGATATTAAGGGATTGAAGGAAGAAGAATAAACTAATGAAAAAGGGATGGCAGAGATTGGAAATGCAGGAATGGGCAGGGGAATCAGGAGTAACAGACTGGGAATATGGGGATGGTAGCAGAGGAATGGGAATTGGGCTTTTCCTTCATCTGAACATCTTTGTGATTTTCATCATGAACCCTATGACCCCTAAACCAATTGCCCCCTTCTGGTCTGTAGGCCGTGTCCAGTTTCCAGCAGGTTGAAAGAATTGAGAGTGGCCGGGGGAAATGTCCTTTTGAGCCAGCTCAGCGGTCAGCAGCTGTAATGGCTGGTGAGTGGGAGAGATAAGAACCTGTGACTTCTTGCTGTAATTGCTGCCTTCCCCACCCCTGCTGTTGGAATTTCTGTGTCCTTTCTTTCGTTTGCTAGGAATGTCTATTATTCCCATGTCTCTTTCTAGCCTTTCCTCTTCTCCCCAGCGTGCCTGTGTCCTGTTTTTCTCCAGAGTACCATTTCCCTGGGTTCTCCCTAGAGAATATGTTCTCTGCACCTCTAATGTGTTTCCTCTGCTAACCTAATCCCCCCGCCCCCATTTTATTTCTGTTCATAAGAGGACTCTGCTACAATGCATATTGTAATACACTTGGAAAAAGTATAAAGAACATATGAACAGAAATGTTCGAAAGAACTTTGTGTGATGATATGAATGCTCTGTATCTTTGCTGTCCAAAGTAGCCACTAGCTACATGTGGCTATTGAGCTTCTAGTGCGACTGAACGAAAGGGTTTTGGGTTGTATTTAATTTCAGTTTAAATGTAAGTAGTCACATGTGTATAGTGGCTAATATATTAGCAAAGGTCTAGAGTATCTACTCAGAAAACCACTGTTAATATTTTAAGATATTTCCTTTTAGCCTGTTGTAATGTGTATGCAAGCGCATATTTTACTGGCCAGTCCTTTGTAGCTCAGAGGAGTCAGTAATGACTATTCATTAAGTTCCTGCTGTTACTTCCTTTGAACAAGCCATATACAGTTGCTCAAGTGTTGAGTGGTTCTTTCTGGAGAGTGACTGCTTAATTCTTCGGTAGCCACAAAGTGAATTGTTTGTGCCCCACACAGCCTGTATTTTAGATTCACATGCACCCTCCAAATTCAGTGAGGATCTAGCCATTTTCTCATGATAGGGTAAAACAAGCGGATTAGTAGAAATTTTATGTGTGTGCATATTATAAAACTTTTAAATGTCATGCTACATGGGTATAATTTTGAATTTTGTTATGTAACTTTATATCATAGGCATTTCTGTATAATTTAAAAATTCTTTGTAAGTAGAATTTTTAATGACATCATGCTATTACTCATCCTGTAAGCATACAGTAATTTAATGAAGCAGCTCCAAATAATTTCTATAAATTAATTTTATTTAGTTTAAGTTTTTGTTATTATCCATTAATACTGTAATGAACATTTTTGTGTATAAATATTTGTCCTTATTTTAGATTGTCTCCTTAAGATTTCTGGAAAGAGATTACTATACCAAAGGGTGTGAGCATTTTATGGCTCATTATCTGTTGCTAATTGGGTTTTTAGAAAGAGTGTACCAATTTACACCCTAAATCAGCAGTAAATGAGAGTACTTTTTTTCTCACATAAATTTCACCAAAATATATTGTTGTCACTTTAAAAGATCTTTGAGTCCTGACTGATGTGGCTCAGTTGGTTGGGTGTCATCCTGTGCACCAGGAGGTTATGGTTTGGATTCGTGGTGAAGGGCACATGCTCGGCTGCAGGCTCGATACCTGGTGGGGCTGTGCTGGAGGCAGTCAATCAACATACTCTTACATCGATGTTTCTCTCTCTCTCTCTCTCTCTCTCTCTCAACCAATAAACTAGTCTAAAAAAAGATTGTTGAGACTAAAAATAGTACCTTGTTTTAATTTGTATTTCTTTGAATATTAGTGAAGTTGAACATTTTTCATGTTTTAGTACTATTTTTATTTCTTCTCTCATAAGTCCTCTGCTTACTTTCTTGGGTCAATTACCGGTAGGATATTAAGGTTTCACTCTACATGTTTTCCTTTCTAATTACATTTTTTAAAAACATATTTTATTGATTTTTTACAGAGAGGAGGGGAGAGGGATAGAGAGTTAGAAACATCGATGAGAGAGAAACATCGATCAGGTGCCTCTTGCATGCCCCCTACTGGGGATGTGCCCACAACCAAGGTACATGCCCTTGACCGGAATCGAACCTGGGACCCTTGAATCTGCAGGCCGACGCTCTATCTGCTGAGCCAAACCGGTTAGGGCTCTAATTACATTTTTTAAGCAAAGTCCTTCTTCAGTTAGAGAGCTGATAAAAACTTTTTTCTTATTTTTTTCCCCCAAACACAACATTTTGATTTTTTAAAAACTTATATTGATGAATGACGTGAGATGGAGACTTAAATTAATTTTCCCCAACTAGCTAATCAGTTGACTCATTCATCATACTGTTTTTTCTTTTATCACTGACTTTAGCTGTGAACTTTGTTATAAAATTAATTTTTATCTATACTTTTGCATAATATTTTATGAAAAAAATTGGAATGTAAGATCTAACAATAACATTTTTCTTATTTAGGACTTCATAGGAAAGGTCATAAAAGCTATACAAATTAAATAAATTTTAGTCAGATAATTAAGGAGTTTTTCTGAAAAGAAATAACATAAATGTTTTGAAAGTGAACATAAGTATATATATAATAAATATAATATTGGGTTGTCATTTTTATCATTAATCTATAGTTGATATTGATGAGACCTTGTTTATACTCAAGCATATTTGAATGAAATAGTTTAATCGATGGTTTATTTTTCTTGACTTTTTATCAAGCATGTGTGGCAAAATTCTGAGCCAGTCATTGGGAACATTAAGAAAGATAGTGGTTGTGAATGTCTCTCTTTTTAAAAAAATTTATTTTGTTGTTGAGGGTATTACAGATATTTCCCATTTGTGAATCTCTTTTAAAAAAATAAGATTTTAAATTGATTTTTAGAGAGAGAGAAACATCAATGTGAGAGCAAAACAATCAGCTGCTGGGGATTAAGCCTGCAACCCCAGGCATGTGCCCTGACCAGGAATCGAACCAGAGACCATTTGGTACATGGAATGGAGCTCAATCAACTGAGCTACACCAGCCAGGGCTGTGAATATGTCTTGATTCTACATAATTGTTTATTAGCAACATGACGTCTCAGTTGCAACAATTTAAGATAATCATTTAACATACTTTCTTTTTTTCATGCAGTAAACTTTAAGTACATTCAATCTTCTGCTTGTAATTTCTCAGTTTTCCAGTCAGCAAGTGAATTTGCATTAGCATGTGGTTCAAGGGCACAGATTTCTTAAAGGAGATCATTGCATAATGAAGGAAAATTTCAAAAAGGAGTAACATTTTCAAAAAGGTTTCAAGTTTTTTTTTTTCCAAATAATGAAGTTGTCTTTTTTTCCAGATAGTGATGTTGGCTTTCATCTGATAATTGATGGAAGTGATCAGAAATCACTTTCTAACAGTTTAGAATGACTAACTTTAGACAGTTAACATACAATCTCCATGTCTCTTTCTGTCTCATTTCCATGTCATAGTCAATACCAATATAAAATTTTCTCTCAAGTTCTAAACTTTATAGGGTTATAATTTAAAATTTTTCTTGATCTGAATAGGTGCCAGTATTTAGTCGGAACTTTCAATGTTGATCCATTATGCCTTGCTATCCTCTGTTTTGAAAACAGTGAAATAGAAATAGTGCCAACATTAGGTAGGAACTAGAACCAAAATTCCTAGTTACGAGATATAAAAATGTCCTTAAAGATAATAGAGGTATTTTAAAATAAAAAGTTTTAGTAATGAAAATATTATTAGACTATAATATTTTTAATATGATATAATAAAATAACATTTTAAATTATAAAAATTACAATGTGCATTGTAGAAAGTTGAGAAAATGTAGAAATGTTAAAGAAGAAAGTGAAAGGTTTATTTGCAATTCAATCATTACCAGGTAACTACTATTATTTTAGACTACTTTCTTCTGTGTCTGTCTGTGTGTATATTTGTAAATAAATTGGAATTATTATGCATATTTCACTTAGTTATATAGTAAACATTTTCTTGCCATAGAAAATAGTTATTCAAAACATGATTTTTAGAGATTACAAAGCATTTATTCCATTATATATATATATATATACACACACACTGTATAGCACAATTTAATCATTCCTATAAAGTTATACATTCAGATTTAAAAACTATTGTTTTTATGAATAATACTGTAGAAGACATATTTTTACATAAATTCTTCACATAAATGTCAATAATTGCATATGAGTAAATCCAAAAAGTAGACTTTCAGGGCCAAAGGGTGTGAAGATTTTTATGGTGCTCGATAGGTTTATCTAAATTCCTTTCCATTTAGTCCAACCAACCGTGATGAGAGGGCCTGTCTCACTGCATTCTTGTCAGTCCCAAGTAATATACGTAATAAAGCATACAAACAGTGACTTCCTCCAAAGACTAATTTGATGTATTTTTTCCTTGCATCTCTATTAGTGAGATTGAACAACTTTTCATTTGTTTATTGGTACTTGTATTTCTTTTGGGAAAAGCCTGCAAAATCGTGTCTTCAAATATGACTTTTGTTTCTATTGCAGTTAGATAAAATTAACAAAATTATCTCAGTGTCTCTATTTGCACTGTTCAGATTTGGAA